ACCTGCTTCCTCTTCCCTTTGATTTGTCTTTGTTTCTCTCTCAGCTTTCAAGCGCTGGGTATTTTCTGTGTATCTGTACAGCAGCCATCATCTCCTAGGCACTAGCAGAAATACTAGGAATAACCTGTTGCCATGATTACTATAATTATGGCATAGTCTATAAGGATATTCATGACACCCAACTAGCATAGGATGTGACTTCTTCTGGTTGATCATTTCTTTCTGTTACAACAAAACTTTGGAGACACTGTGAACTTTCTGGCTCCATTCAATTAAACTGAAACTTGCAAAGAGGCTGGGGGGGGGGGGGGGGGGGGGGGGGGGGCAACTTCCAATTACCACATGAGCTGCACATTCAAATCCTGAAAATAGCTTTGAACATTACAGCCTTAAAGCCCAGATGTTCAGTGAAGGATCTGGACAAGGAATCTGAATTTCCAGAAACATCCTCCAAGCACTCAGCCAGTAAATGACTAGAACAAGGATAGAGCATTTCCCAGAATAAGTGTATGTTAATAGCATGGTTAGAAATGAATTACCACATGAGCTGCACATTCAAATCCTGAAAATAGCTTTGAACATTACAGCCTTAAAGCCCAGATGTTCAGTGAAGGATCTGGACAAGGAATCTGAATTTCCAGAAACATCCTCCAAGCACTCAGCCAGTAAATGACTAGAACAAGGATAGAGCATTTCCCAGAATAAGTGTATGTTAATAGCATGGTTAGAAATGAGGTCTCCAAACACAGGAAGATCAGGCTCTCATCTTACCAGACACAGTGTTTTTATTAAAGAGATGACCATGTGTATCTGGGCAAATTCTATTTTGGTTCTTGACATTCAATTACTGTCTGTAGCAGCTTGATGATCACAAGGCTCTTCACCAGCAGGAAAACAAGGGAGGAAATTTATGCCACATTCTTCTCTATTTCTTTCACATCAGAAAATATTTTAAATTTAATTCCTAACAACATGGAATACTATATTAGGTAGATCTTAAGACCGGAGGAGGAGACTGACTTATTACTATAAATAAAGGATTAAATTCTTAAACACTATATTACTTGATCTAAAAACAACCAGTGTGCTCTATATACAGAGACGCTATAAGCAGCTATTTGGGTCTTTGAACAATGCTCCTCTGATTTGCCTCTGCTCACACCACTTTAAAGAGAGGGCAATGAAATCTGTTGCAAGAACATAATGTCTCAAGCTGCCGGGGAATATTCTTACAGGAAATGGAAATTTGATGGAGAAAATAAATCAGGAAAAATATAAACACAACATTTCAAAAGGTCAACCTAAAATTCAGTCACAGCTCTGGGAGAAACAGCATTGAGTTAGTGACCCTGCTGCAATAACACCCAAGGCTGACCCATAAAATGTTATGGGCCTGAGCATAAAGCCTCCATCTGGTCTAGTTAGCTTTCCAGAAAACAATAAAGACTAGCAAGATCTGCCTTTCGTTCTCAGCTGATTCATTACTCAAGTGTCATTGTATTTCATACGGGTTCCCAATCAAAACTATGCCTTCTAAATGGGACACTAAAACCTAGCAAACTAAAACTATGAGATTAGATAAAAACAAAACAATTTGAGATAGATGCCATGGAGGTTGATCCCAAACTGGTGCAAGTCTTCTGGGGGGTGGACATTTAAGGTAGGTGAACAAAGATACATCAGGTAGTTCAGACTCTCTCAGTGGAGAGAAGCCTGGTTCTGGTTCCAGTGGAGGTATCATTGGTGCCACGGGAGGGGAAATATTTTCTGTGCATGGGACTGATGATAAACCCCTTCCGGCAGCTGATTCCCTCAGAAGTGATATTATCTCCCTGGGGACAGAGGGTCCAAGTGGAGAAGGGGATTCCAGATTCCAAAGAGTGAAAAATACCTTGTGGGGATTCATGTCTCCCCAGTGTGAGAGGGTTCTGCTTCCTGGAGCCACCAGAGCTGGTGAGGAAGGTGATACCAAAAGCTGCTGATTATCAGACTTCATCAGTGCCAACCAATCCTGGCATTGTGGAGGAAGAGAGATGATGGTATTGATGGCAACACAGCCTGCTACTGATAGAGCCCAATGCTTACAGGTTTTCCTGCCTCTGGGACACAGCATGTCCTAACTGCTCATGGCCCAAGCTGATGGGCTTGCCTTCAGCTGAATTAGACTTATTTGAAATGGATCTAGAGGACTTAACCTCGTGTTTATCAGAATGAGTCCTGAAAAGATTCTGCATGGGAGGCCATGGGGGAAAGATTCTCTTGCAATAGAGTCCAACTTAACAACAGGAGGCATGCTCCATGCTAAATCAGGCCAATGTATGGGGCAGAGGAATGGAAAAGGATCTCAGCCTTGGTCTGACTGGGGCCTCATACCCTTTTCCAGGATGTTATTTGCAGAGGCAAAGTTACTGCCTTTCTTGGCTATGAGTGGGGAATGACTGACATATACTGCAGCTTGCTGCAATGTGAACTCCTCTGAAGTTGCAAAACTATTTACAAACTGGGGGTATGTCTAGACTGGCAGGTTTTTCCAGGGAACGTGTTTGCTCTTCTGTTTTTTTGCAGAAGAGCAAACGTGCTCTTTCGGGGAGTCCTGTATACCTCTTTCTACGAGGAATAAAGGCTCTGCTGAAAGAGGAGGCTTTTCCGCCATTTAGCCCCATCTTGACTGGGCCAAATGGTGGAAAAGCTTCTTCTGGAAAAGCAATTGGAAAAAACTGCGCAAATTGCACAGTGCAATTTGCATAGTTTTTTCCGATAAGAGTGTAGTCTAGACCTCGCCTGGGTCATTCTTTTGTAGAATGAAGCCAAAGCTGTGGGCACTGAAGCTTCCAACCCAGACCATGTGGCAGGGAGAAGTAACTGAAGAGGCAGGTGGTTTGCCCTGATCTTTAGCCAGTCACGCAGAAGCACCAGGTAATCCAGGGCACATGTGCAGACCAAAGAACACTACTTTCAAATTCTCTGGCTCCAGATGCATGGTGTGCATGCATAATCGACAGTGGAATACAATAGTAAAAGTCACTTGAAGAAGGCAAAAGAATTTAAAAATACGATTACAAAGGGAGACATTTGAACTGGAGTTCATTACTATCAATTCAACACTATCAATTTAGGACTAAATAATTATCTTAACTGGTTAACGCATTACAAAGGCAATTTCCCCTCTATTCATATCTCCACACCAAAAGTTATGAATGATCCACTTTCACCGTCACTTGATTAGCTTCATTAACACAAGCATCTTCTTCCTTCCTGCTTCTGTAACTTCCACTCCAATTCATCTGATGAAGTGGGTTTTACCTGCAAAAATTTGTGTCCTAATAAATCTGTTAGCCTCTAAGGGTGTGTCTGCACTATGGGATAAGGTTGAATTAAGATACACAACTTCAGCTACATTAATTGCATAGCTGAAATCGAAGTACCTTAACTCGACGTTTCTCACTGTCAACATTGCAGGAAGTCGAAGGGAGAACATTCTCTCTTTGACTTCCCTTACTCCTTGTGGAAGCAGGACTATCGGTATCAACTGGAGTGTTCCTCTCAGTTTGAATTAAGGTATCTTCACTAGACCTGCTAATTCAAACCCTGGGGCTTCATCTACACTGGCCAGTCTTGCGCAAGAACATATGCAAATGAGGCACAGTGATGAATATCGCCGCACCTTATTTGCATACTAAATGAGCCGCCATTTTATGCAAAGGGCTTTTGAACAAGAAGGAGCAATCTACACTGCTCTTTCTTGCATAAAAACCCCCTCTTGCGCAAGAGTCCTTCTGCCGGAAAATAAGCAGCAGAATGGCTCTTGCACAAAAGCCCGTTGTGCAAAAATGGCGGCTCATGAAGTATGCAAATGGGGTACGGCAACCTCATTTGCATATAGTCTTGCGCAAGACAGGCCAGTGTAGATGAAGCCTGGAAGATGAACAGTGGCAGTTCTGATATTCTCTGTAGTATAGACATACCCTAAGGTACCACAGGATTCCTCATTGTCCTAGACCTGTTCATTTACATTATCTATATTAAAACACCTATCATTTGCTTGCACCCCACTTACAAAGCTATCTAAATCAATCTATATCAGTGTCTTGTCCTCTTTATTATTATCACTCTCCCATTATCTGTCATCTTCCAACTTATCAATTATGATTTTATGTTCCCTTCCAGGTCATTAACAAAAATGTTAAATAGCATAGGGGCAAGAACCAATCCTTTCAGGACTGCACTAGAAACATACCTCCCTCAATTATTCTGTTTACAGATATATTTTGAGACCTATCAGTTGGTCAATTTTTATCCAATTAATATATGCCATGTTCATAATTTTCTAGATTTTTAATCAAAATGTGTGCTGTATCAAATCAAATTTCTTGTAGAAATCTACGTATGTTACATCAACACAATTATCTTTGTCAAACAAACTTGGAATCTGATTTTTAAAAAGATATCTAGTTAGTTTGACATAATCTATTTTCCATAAACACATGTTGATTGGTATTCATTACATTACCCTCCGTTAATTCTTTATCAATTGAGTCCCCTATCAGCTATTCCATTATTTTGCCCAGAATCAATATCAGACTGACAGATTTGTAATTACCCACATCATCTTGTTCACCCTTTTTAATTATCACAGCATTAGCTTTCCTCCAGGTGCCTGGAACTTCCCAACCTAAGCCCATTCTGGCCCTGCTGATGTAAATTTTGTAGCTGCTCTTTGCCATCCTCTAGTTACTATTGGAATAGAAAAGTATCATCACAGGATAAGAAACTTTACTCGTTTTTATTACCTCATTTCAATATGGCTGTATTATATACTTTATTAACTGAATTAAAACAAAGCAGATTTTCTTTATACAGTCCATTAACAGCCAACATTTGTGATCCAGCCTAATGAATCAAGATAGTCAAGCCGTATGGAGCAAAAATGTACCGAAGTAGAACATGGAAATACTTAACTATAAGAACTAATAGCAATAAATAATGAATAACATTCTTACCAGAGAGCAAGTCTCTGCTCAATTTCCTTGAGAAAACTGGTGTGAAATTTGTGCAAAGGTTCAAAGTTGGAGAAGAGGAGATTTTTCAGTGTGTCTGGCATACAGTCATCTTTACTCACTGTGCTCTGAAACCACTAGAAGGAAAGAACAAAGTGATAAAGGGGAAAGCCGAGAGCAGGGCCATTTACTCTTTGTGCAATTGCCTACAACCTGGCTGATCTCTAGAGTACAGCATGGCTCAGATTTTGGACAGCATTTATGAAAATACTTAAAGCTTATTGCAATTGATGAAATTTAAGCATATGCTGCCTAATTGGGCCTTATAAATGTAACACCTCCACCGTGGTAAAAGGAGTTATTTACAGGCAGTCCCCGGGTTACGTACAAGATAGGGACTGTAGGTTTGTTCTTAAGTTGAATCTGTATGTAAGTCGGAACTGGCGTCCAGATTCAGCCGCTGCTGGTCAGTTTCAGCAGCGGCTGACTTGGGGACGCCTGGGGCAGAGCAACTCTGCCTCAGGCTTCCTGTAGTCAGCGCTGGTCAGTTGCAGCAGCGGCTGACTTGGGGACGCCTGGGGCAGAGCAACTCTGCCTCAGGCTTCCTGTAGTCAGCGCTGGTCAGTTGCAGCAGCGGCTGACTTGGGGACGCCTGGGGCAGAGCAACTCTGCCTCAGGCTTCCTGTAGTCAGCGCTGGTCAGTTGCAGCAGCGGCTGACTTGGGGACGCCTGGGGCAGAGCAACTCTGCCTCAGGCTTCCTGTAGTCAGCGCTGGTCAGTTGCAGCAGCGGCTGACTTGGGGACGCCTGGGGCAGAGCAACTCTGCCTCAGGCTTCCTGTAGTCAGCGCTGGTCAGTTGCAGCAGCGGCTGACTTGGGGACGCCTGGGGCAGAGCAACTCTGCCTCAGGCTTCCTGTAGTCAGCGCTGGTCAGTTGCAGCAGCGGCTGACTTGGGGACGCCTGGGGCAGAGCAACTCTGCCTCAGGCTTCCTGTAGTCAGCGCTGGTCAGTTGCAGCAGCGGCTGACTTGGGGACGCCTGGGGCAGAGCAACTCTGCCTCAGGCTTCCTGTAGTCAGCGCTGGTCAGTTGCAGCAGCGGCTGACTTGGGGACGCCTGGGGCAGAGCAACTCTGCCTCAGGCTTCCTGTAGTCAGCGCTGGTCAGTTGCAGCAGCGGCTGACTTGGGGACGCCTGGGGCAGAGCAACTCTGCCTCAGGCTTCCTGTAGTCAGCGCTGGTCAGTTGCAGCAGCGGCTGACTTGGGGACGCCTGGGGCAGAGCAACTCTGCCTCAGGCTTCCTGTAGTCAGCGCTGGTCAGTTGCAGCAGCGGCTGACTTGGGGACGCCTGGGGCAGAGCAACTCTGCCTCAGGCTTCCTGTAGTCAGCGCTGGTCAGTTTCAGCAGCGGCTGAATCTGGACGCCAGTTCCGACTTACATACAGATTCAACTTAAGAACAAACCTACAGTCCCTATCTTGTACGTAACCCGGGGACTGCCTGTACTTCCTTACAGTCAATCCACCAACTCAAGATATATACAGAATAAATGTACTGCAGAGATACTGGCCTCCTGGGGTCACAGTTCTATTTCCTTTCTATATTTGTCATAAAATTCCCTCAGAAATAGGAAGCCTCAAGATAAATACAAAAAAGTAACCTCCACGGAAGAATGAATTTTGCATACAGTTCAGCCACCGCGGATTCACTTACTTAATTGAACTGAAGTAGGAAACTTAATTCCAACCACATAAACTAGTGTTACTATCTATTTTAGAAATGTGCATCTGTCTGTCCATCTGTGAGTCCATGTGTTCAAGAACTCCTTTTAAACAAGAGCAAGGGCCACCAAATTTGGAATGCAGCTTCCTGTTATCATAACTTAAAGCAAAGTCAGGGTTTGGTTGTGCCAGGACAGGGGATGTGTGTAGATTTGATCTGTTTCTTATCAAATAGAAAGGGAGTATTTCAGAGACTTAGTCTGTTTGTCTGTCTAGACTCAAGCCAAGGGACATTCACCCCCTCCCCCGGCTGTGCCCACTGCAGCTGTAGTGGCCATGGACAGACATTTCTCAGCTGACCCCAAGCTGCCGTGGTGAGAGAGGGCTGCCTCACCCTAGAGCAATGATTTAAATGAAGAAAAACAAAACTTATTTGAGTTAAGGACACGAGCAATGCCGGGTAAAGCTTCTAGTTATTAAAATGTGAAAGCAGCTATGCTAATGCCCCTCGTAATCAGGTTCACTGTGACTTACGGTTTCAAAATCTGACTTCTGACTTTGTTAGCCTGTAGCTTGATTTTCAGGGATTCCAAAATCAATGAGGGGAAGCCAAAAAGTGCAGATGTGAAGTAGTTTATTTGTTTGAGATCTGTGTTGGTATCAGCATAGTATACGTAGCGCAGGATAAAGTCATACTATTTACATTTATAACAGTATCTTAGATCCACTAAAATTAATTCAGCTTTGACCTTTATCCCTTTGTGCTCTTGTATAAAGAGGCTGTCAAAGCAGCAATGTAAAAGGGGTTCCCCGAGTGACATAGAGCCGTCCTACCCATTCTGTCCTCACCATCTCCACAGTGGCTCCCCTAGAGCTGTTGCAACAGCCTGTCAATTAGAGCAGCCTCCAAAATAGGACCAGTTTTAACTCCAAATAAAAATACCACAGCTGACTCCAGTAGCATATGTTTCATGAGTAATGCTAAAGTAAACATACTGATGTGATGACTTCAAGGTCCTTTAGGTAAGTTCGCTCTGTGGTGGACACTTCTTTAGCAATGAAGTAAGCTTTGTCAGTTGGAAATCTCTGTAAAATGCAAAAAATAAGAAGTTTTGATCTGCTTTTGGAGGCTAAGTCTCCAGTAGAAAAGAAACCCTCAGCAACAATGATAAGAACAATTACAAACTAATGACCCTTCCTTGTGTTTAATTAAACATAACAAACAACTTAATGAACAGACAGTGTAATCGGGGCGGCCAGTGCGTATAGGCCGACTCAGCCGTCACCAAGGGCACCATGTTAAATGGGGCGCCCAATGATGATGTCACGTCATTGAGGGTTGTGGAGGCGGGGGCGCCAATCGCGCATTCCGCATGGGGCGCCAGCTGCCGGGGCAGCCTGCCTTGGGCCGCCCCTGCATGTAATCTGTGCTCACTTTTCAATACACATCTCTCCATGTGATAAACTTTTACCGCAGAATGGTCTCCAATTTGCCCAAGCTAGTTTCTCCAAAGGGATGGAATAGGTAGAGGATCACAGAGTCTGGGAGAGAAAAGGTCACAATATAGGCTTCAGACTTCAGAAATCTCTCTCCTCTGTAGGTCAGTATCAGTATTACACCAGGGAGAAGTTTAAGTGACTCGACTTTACAGCTTGAGGGTCCAACATCTTCTTTCAAAATGGCCAAAGGGGCACAATTGGTACCTTCAGGCCTATTCTGCTTTCTTTGTGCTGGCTCAGGATATACAAAGGGAGAGGAAAACACCCCAAAATTCCTTGCTATGATGCTTCCCTCCCTCCAGCTGTTGGTTCAGCGGATGTGTCAGAGTCTGTGATGGACACTAGCTGACATACTCTATGCTCTGGCTTTCCCTAGCTGGTGTATCACTCCAAGGGAGCCACTGCCACCTGGCATTAGAGAGAGCAGTCTGAGGGTGCTCTAACTGGGACTGAGCATGGAAACAGGAAGAAGTGGATAGGTGTTCATTTTAGATGTTTCCTCTGGTGCCTCATATAACTGAGTGTAGAAGATGTTGTAACCTGGACAATCCCCTAGGCTCAAGTAGAATCAGCCAAGCTCCTTATTTTGCTATCTTGAGACTCTCACAGTCAGTCACCAGAGTTGCTCTACCAGCGGGGTCTAGCCCATGGCTAGGCCTCCTAGGCACTAGTGTAATACACATCACAATGTACCACCTTCCCCAGCAATGCATCAGGCAGCCAGAAGGGGAGCTGCTATGAAGCTGCATCAAGGAAAAAAGAGCAGCAGCTCAGAACTGCTCTTGCTCTTCTTCCACAGCAGTTCTGACAGCTTCACCAGAGTTGCTCTACCAGCGGGGTCTAGCCCATGGCTAGGCCTCCTAGGCACTAGTGTAATACACATCACAATGTACCACCTTCCCCAGCAATGCATCAGGCAGCCAGAAGGGGAGCTGCTATGAAGCTGCATCAAGGAAAAAAGAGCAGCAGCTCAGAACTGCTCTTGCTCTTCTTCCACAGCAGTTCTGACAGCTGTAG